GTTTCAGAATGCTAGACCTAAGAAAGTGTTAGATGCGGCCAAATATCTTGTAGACACAAGTGATTTACACCTTTTGCTGTTCATTTACAGAAAATATCCATTCATTTGTATCCAAGTTTGTTTCAGTATGGTTAATATACTCACATTAACACTAATATGACCTTCATTTGCGTGTAAGGAATGTTCAAAAATAACATTTGCATATGTATTAAAATTCAAAATCATCAAAAGATAAACAATACCTTCCTTTGACATTCATTGGCTGTAAAAGTATCTTCATTTTTGTCGAAATAAAATTCATTGTCATGAAACGACAATCATGTACACTTTTGGACAATCCTTTTACAACAAAAAACTTTCAATAACAGAATTTGCATGAGCACTCACAATCAATTGCATTATTATACAACCATATCCGTGAAAGTGACAACCTTTAGTACGTTGAGACTGACATTACCGTGTTTTCACCTAACGTTAAGAGGAAACAATAGCTCATTAGCGTAATTCTTTTGAACAGAGATTTTGCGCCCAATTTTCCCCGAAAATTTGATTATAGAACTACGTGTAGGGACCATATGTCCTTTTTTTAATCGTATTTTCACAATCCTCCCCTTCCAGATATAACTCAGAGGGTGCACTACAGTATACATGTGATAAAGTGACGGTTAGATTTCCCCACAAGTGCCACGAAGAAATAGAATCCCATTTGAACACAGTGAAAGAATAATCAGGGCCTAAATGTGGGCAATGGTATAGTTTCATGCAAACATATTTGCCACGATGCCTCAGTAGTGAGGCATTTGAGGAATAAATTGTTCAGCAAAATTGATATTCTCTCTTCCAGAAATAAATGTTATTATGGCTGTAATGTTTGTCTCACTGCACTTAAGATTGTCACCTTGATGGATATGGTTGTATAATAATGCAATTGATTGTGAGTGCTCATGCAAATTGTGCTATTGAAAGTCTTTTGTTGAAAAAGGATTGTCCAAAAGTGTACATGATTGTCGTTTCATGACAACGAATTTTGTTTTGACAAAAATGAAAATACACTTACAGCCAATGAATCTCAAAGGAAGGTATTGTTTATCTTTTGATGATTTTGAATGTTAATGCATATGCAAGTGTTATTCTTGAATGTTCCTTACGTGCAAATGAAGGTCATATTGGTGTTAATGAGAGTATATTGACCATAATGAAACAAATTTGGACTCAAATGAATGGATATTTTCTGTAAATGAACAGCAAAAGGTGTATTTAAAAGTGAAGGCATAGAAGTGCAAAATGCATGCCTAGATAACATAAGTTTGAAGTCTAGTGCCCATGAAGACTGGAGTGAGTTTTTCCAAACTCCTGACACATCAAGTGGTGGTTTGCAAACTGAGGAAATTGTTGAAAAAGATAACACACAGGACATTATTTCCACTGCTGATATTGATAATACAGGCGATGAAAAAGGTGATAGTGACGGCTGGTGTGAACTTGATGAATGCCCTTCAGGGGTTACAGATGCACTATTCCTGGAAGCAGAGGTAGCAGAAAATGCAGCAGAATTATTTCTTTTGTACCCAGAGAAAGGAAACAAACCATTAAGAATTTTTATGGATAAATATTCTGAATATCTAAGTCTATAGCTGTAATTCTTATAACACATTTCTTCTTTCAAAACTTGACAAAACTTAGAAATGGACACCAAAAACTTTTAACAGAATAGAAACCACAATAATTGTTTTCCATCACGGACCTGAGTCTGTGTCCTTGCAAACGTGTGTAAATTTGCATGCCACTCGTCGGCCCATTGTGAAAGACCTGTAACGCAAGTTTTGTTGTAGAGATCAAGTACTTCGACAGACCTCAATAGAAAACAATGATATTGTCTTGTTTCAACATCTCTCTTCAGAGTAGAGCACCAAGTTTATTTTAATATTATGTCCTGTCTGTATTTCTGTCGAGGAAAGTTTTCCTTTGGTTCTCAGCAAACGTGTGCACGCAGTCTATTGGCCGTTCGAATCAGAAAGGTTGAATGTTTGTTTTGAATGAACAAACATATAATTCCAGCCATTTGGAGACCTGAATCCTATCAGATACCATTGGCTGATCGAATGGCTGATTAGTTTTGTGTGAAAAAAAAGAAGCAGCAAACCTTTGCCTTAAGTTATTCTCAGCAATGGGAGTTGATGATATCAACTTGCAGGAGATTGATACTGCACACAGAGCACCGGGAAGACAACCAACAAACAAGTTCAATGCAATTATATGCAAATTTGTTAGACGCCTGACCAAAGACAGAGTAATGTCTTTATGGAGGGAGGCTTTTAATTTGTGGCCTGAGGACATAGGATTTGATGCGGAACAGACCTGCCAGATTAGAGTGTATGACCACCTGACACCAAAGACCCAAGACCTTCTCTTCCAAGCCTCTAGCTGCAAGAGAGCTTACCAGTTTTACTTTTGCTGGGCAAAGAATGGTCTTGTTTTCTGCTAAAGTCAGAGTCTTCACCTGTCATGAAATTACAATGCATTGATGATATGCGTATTCTAGAGCAAAGCCTGCGTTCTGCTCAAGACAACGACGATGGACACTTGATGAGCTAAGTACTTTATTCTTATAGGGGTCTGTTATCCTTTAGTAATGGCTTCTGATCGACAAGTCTCGAGAAAAATTAATGTGAACAGAAACCTTCTTCAAGAATTACCTTATTTATGGTGTAAATATTGCTATCGCCCATGGCCTGTTCAATAACAATGCTTCAATCTCTCGCACACCTAATACTTACCTTGAGAAATTGCACAGTATATATGATCTCGACTTTTTTCTCCCTAAATACAGGCACAGATACTTCGATCAATCCCGATTCTAACATCCTTAATCAACACATTCGAAATGTGTATTATTCCCCAAATAGTTTTTATAACCACAAACGCTCTTTGCATAGCTCTCATTGTAAAAATGGTGGGTTCTCTATTTTCCACAATAATATTAGGAGCTTAAAAAGAAATCTTGAAAGTCTCCAAACTCACTTGCTTAGCGAA